CCGTTAGGGAAATTTTTCTGAAGGGGATCCCACAAACCCCCATACCATTCATTTGTAGATCCTTGTCTCCTCCATCAATGTGCACTGGGGATCCCCAGCTGCTTGTTTGGAGTTGCCTTTTGGTCTTCCTGACAATGACCTGCAAAACCCAGCAGGTTTCATGCTGGAGGCTCGTGCTTGGCAATGCAGACCTTCACCATGCAGTCCCAGGATGAGGATGAGACTGGGGTGCCCAGCCCCACCAGTGCTCCCCATTTGTCTTTTAGAGAAGTTGCAGGTGAGAAGCTTAACACGGTGCATATCTTGGCAACTTGGCTGTTCCTTCAGGTGTCCACGGGAGGTGACTGAAGCCACCTCATTGTTTCTGAACAGCATGTGCAAAAATCCCGTGATCTCCATGGACAGGCTCCAGAGACACTAAACACTGTGAAGAAGCACTGAATGGTGGCATTCACCTTCTGCTGCTTCTAGTGGGACAGAAAGCCTGTGGGGAAGAACTTTGCTGCTGCTGGGGACAGAGTTTGTCCCTAGACCTTCTCTGCAGCAACACTCTGCCCTTACCCTCCTACCCCATCCCCAGGGGTACCGTCAGAACCTGGCATCCCTGTTGCCAGGACTTTGGCATTGCAGAGCTGGCAAGCATGCTGTGGCTCTTCAGCTGCTCAGATAGATCCCTGTGTCCTACTTAGAGCTGATCCTGAGGATGGGATGGTTTGGACGCTGTGGGCTGCATGGGCATGCATGTGGTTAGCACAGGGGGGCACTGGTGAAGAGGGACTGGCTGTGGACGTCCTGGCAGCAGCGGTCTTCCCTAACTGCTGCAGTGACTATGGGAGCAGCATGGAAGGATTGTGGATTTGAACCTTCAGTGCTCTTTGTTATCTCCATTGCCTGGAGCTCACTAGTCCCTGCCACAGCAACTCTGGGCAGTGGAGACTTGAAGCAAGGGCACATTGTGGGAATAGCATCTGATCAGAAGAAAACATCGTGTGGCAGCTCTGGACTTCCCCACTGGTCGCGCTCAGGGCTGCGGTGAGACTTTCTGACCCTACAGCATCTTCTTACAGGCCATGAGTTATGGGGACGCCAGGAAAGTTCCTCTTTGCAGTCCCTCTCAGTCTCGCCTGGGTTCAGCACCCTGCTGCACACCTCAGTTTAGTGGTGTTGTGGGAGGCAGGAGAGAGCCCCTGAGCAGAGGATGTGACCTGCAGGCTCCCCAGGTTGGGTTTGCTCAGCTGAGACCTCTGGCTGTGCCACGCTGGTTAATGTGGGTGCTGTACAGCACGTGCTGAGCTGGGGGCCTGGGCTCTGACACTGCTCACTGCTTCTGGGCATGAATCCCACACAGATCTGTAAGGAATAAAAGGTTAAAAAAAAAAATATAAAACAAACAACCAAACCCAAACAGTTCTGATGTACTCCTTTAAAAAAAAAAAATTCTTTCCCCCCACCTTCCTGAGTAAATTGAGCCAATCATTTTGCTCTTATTAATTAGCTCTGCAGTAATGACTTCTTTAGAGCAGGGCTGGCTCTTGGTCAGGAAGGTTCCAGCACATTTGTTGTGGTGCTGGCTGGACTTGAAGGCCCTGCTCTGAAGAGCTGCACAAGGGCAGAAGAAATAGGAGCCAACAAAGTGGGTTTGATCTGATCAGCCATGTGGAAATGCAGCCCAGGAATGCTGTAGGGAAGCTGTAAGTGTAACTTACGTTGCTGAGCTTTTTTATTTATCTTTTTATCCACCGCAATTACTGAGGCTGAAGTTTGGAAGTGGAAGCGAGCAATCTGGGAGGGTTATATTTAAATGAAAATGTATTAAAGTAATTTCTGGAGACCTGACCCTGGCTGTCAGTATGTTTAGTGGAAGGTTAAAGGAAGTGTTTTAAAATGTAGCTAGAGGAAAAAGAAGCCCTGTTTTCCAAAAGCAACAGAAGCTACAGAATGCAGTTTCTCAGTCTAGTGAGGAAAAACTGGATGAAAGCAGCAGGTTTTTAGCAAGACAAGACTGTCAGAGACTATGTCATTGGCATCTAGAAATGTTAATCTTTAAGACCTTTACCTTGGACGTTAAGGAAGAAGTGCACTTGAGTAAACATAAAGCACTGCAGTCAAGAAAACCCTCCCCTAAGCAGCTTAAAAAAATACACAGAGTTTTAGCTGCAAAGCCCTACAGGGGCTTGTTTCAGAGTGGAGAGACTTTGAAAAAAAAGGCAACCTGGCCCCAGCAATGCTGCAAGGTGCCTGCTGTTCTGTTGGGGGGTGCAGGTTTCCTCAGGGGTTGCTTTGCTACAACTTGTTGCCTATTGCACTTGTTGAAGCAGGTCTCCCTGCAAAGCCTGCCCATGTGCACCTTCACCCTGCCCTTGCTGCCTCCTGTGCCTCCCAGAGAGCTGCCAGTGAGCAAAGCCATTTGTTTGCCATGCATTTTGCTGTGCATTTCCCCAAACACTCCAGTCCCCCCAGACCTTGCCTCCTGCCACCTCCTACACTGCCATGAGCTAAAGCCTGACTTCATCCAGGTTCTTCTCCCTGGTGCTCTGAGCTGCTGAAGTTATTGCAGTGTTTATGGGCTCGCACTGAGAGCCTGTGGCTAGAGTGAAGTGAGTTTTAATTTGCTCAGAGTCCGTGTCAAGCCTGAACAGTAGCATATCTGGGGAGTCTGGCTCTGCTCCATGGAGCAAGGTGGTTAATTAAAGAAGGATTTAGCTTTTGGTCCAAGTAATAATTTTCACTGGACCCCAGTACTTTGTGGACAATTGTCTGTATCAAAATGACCGATTACATTGGATAAAGGAGGTCTGACGTGAAGAGAGAATTACTGAGCTACCTGATTAGTATGGAGGAGGTACAGAAAAGCAATTAAAAAAAGGACATCTGAATATTTTGGGACATGGGATTGGCTAATGAGAAAACTGGAGGAAATACTGAAAAAAAAAAAAAAAAAAAAGACGCAAGTGCTGAGTTAGGAATACAAATTCTTTAAAAAGAAAGCAAGGGAATTAATTAAATATCATTTTGAGATTAATAAGAGACATCTCTTAATAGACTTTATTGGAGCTGACTGCTCTGATGGTCCCTTTCCATCTCAGCAGCACATTTCATTATGTTTCCAGGTTTGTTTCTTAGCGGTAATGTGCTTTTCTAGGCAATTTTTAAGGCTAATATAAATAAATCTCTGGGTTCCAAAAGTGGAATCTAATTGGAGCTTAAGAAAGAGCAAGCAGAAGGGAAGAATGTGGCTGAGTACATAGGAAATTAGAAATAAGAATAAATAGCATCATGGGACTTGGGGAAAGAACAGAGATAACCGCACAGTGTGAGATGAATTCATGAAAAAGTGGAAAATTTTAGCCTGGTAGAAAGAGGAAATGGGACGTGTTGCCACAGACATGACAGCAGATGGCAAAATTGAGCTACAGAGACAGGGCAGAGAAAGCTGGAGAGATTAGGAGAGGCTGTAAAGGTGTTGCAGACCTGCTGCCACCAAGCAGGACAAATAGGTAGCCTCCTCCAGTGTGGGTGGAGGTCCTGGCTGCGAGCTCAGCTCATGGCCAGCTCCAGGACATGCTTTCAGCAAGCTTGGTCTGGGCTTTGGTTTCTGTGTCCTCTAACACCACCATTTCCTGCAAGTCTCAGCAACACTCTGGTTTTCTTGTGCCCCAGAGGCCATGGTGGCCATGTGCTTCTTGGTTTGCTTTTCCCACTGAATGTCTAGCCCCGACTGGGAGCAGCATGGCTTTGGTTTCTCTTGCTAGTGTAAAACTTAAAACCCCAAACCCAAGACTTGGCACCTTCTGCAATCACACTGTGGCACCAGTGACCTGGCAAAAGAAATGATGACCTCTTCCCCTTCCTGTAGCTCATCTTGGCATCCAGTCCCTGCTGCTGTCAAGCTCATGAGAAAGGGTGGTGGTCCTGGCAAGGGACCCTCAAGTGATCACTTTAGAGAGAAAGAACAAAGAGAAGCACTGAGATTAGAGTGGGGATTTCTGCAGAGCACTCTTTGGAAGGAAGACTCCTCTCCTCACCCCATGGTAAACTCAGCTTAAGAGCTCCCAGTGGTTTGAAGCTGAGGTAGGAGGTCACAAGGACACTGAGAAGGTGGATGCAAACTGGAGTGTGCAAAAAGCATTAGAAGGATTTGGGAGGAGGGTGTTGGGAAATGACCTATGGTACAAGTTCATTGACTTTCTTTAGTCTTTCAAGCACTGAGGCTTCTCCAAGGGGAAGGGAAATTTTCTACTTCTTTTTTTTAAATTATT